GCCTGTAGTGCGACGTGTTCTGTAGGGTTTAGGGTTTAGGGTATGGACTGGTTTTCATTTTCGTTTCCATGATCCCTACATGAATTATAGTCTACACTCCTCTGAGGGGGGTTATATAGGGGACTACTCTGGGGGTTATGAAGGGGGATACTAGGAGCTTGAAGTATAGCTCCTATAATCCCCTATATACTCCCAGTTTCCATGTCATTTTCCATGTTCTTTTCCAATTTGATTCTCCGTTATTGGGGGATAGTTTCCCTAAACCCCAAACCCCTAAACCCCTAGACCCTAAATCCTACACCCTAAGCTCCTAAACCCCTAAATCCTAAACCCCTAGACCCTAAATCCTACACCCTAAGCTCCTAAGCCCGTAAATCCTAAACCCCAAACCCCCAAAACCTAAGCCCTAAACCCAAAACCCCCAAAACCTAAGCCCTAAACCCTAAACCCCTAAAACCTAAGCCCTAAACCCTAAAACCCCAAATCCTAAGCCTTAAACCATAAAACCCCAAAATCTAAGCCCTAAACCCTCAACCTAAGCCCTAAACCCTAAACCCCCCAAAGCATAACCTCTAAAAGCACAAGCAGCTCTGTAGGCAATGAGCTCAAAGCCAGCGAGGCGAGGCTGAGAAGACATTTAGGGCTTAGGGTTTAGGGTAAATAAGGGATATATTGGGATAGTGGAAAAGAAAATGAAACTACCATATTATAGGGTTATATAGGGATTATAGTGGTTTGGGAGCCTAACTTAACAAGGTTTGGGGCTTAGGGACTTGGGGTTTTAGGGGTTTAGGGGTTTAGGGTTTAGGGGTTTAGTAGTTTAGGGGTTTAGAGCTTAGGGTTTAGGATTTAGGGTTTAGAGGTTTAGGGTTTAGGGGCTTAGGGTTTGTTTGTCATCTCCTTTTGAGGCGGTCCATGAGTGCGGCATCCCTACATGTTAGGTGCTTTCGGGCGTCAGTGCTCGAAATCTCTTTAGGGGATATGGAGTAGTAGAGCCAAAATCCACAATGAAGCAGCTGCGATGGTTTGAAAAGGAGGCCTCGCAGATGTGAAGATGGCCAGACTTGCACAGGTTAAGAGCCTCGGTTCTACCACTGAGCAAGGGCAGTCTACAGCGGGCAAGATGGAACCTAATGGGGATGCGTACATTGACATCAACATGCGAGACGTCGCAACTCAGACAGCTCTGCAAGAGACAGTGTCTGCGGAGCAGGGGGGTTCTACCAAGGCCGATGGCCAATCTCAGTGGGTTGGCCGCTGGGAACCTTTGGAAGATCACTGGTTTCGTAAGGGAGCTCGCGTCCGCTTGCGGTACGACTCATTACCGCATCGGCTAAAGTTGAGGGGCATTCCGGCTGGCGAGAACGGGACATACCTCGGCATGATGTCATCTGGACATTGTTCGGTTAGATACGACAACTGGACAAAGGGATCTGTGCTGGATGAGTTGGAAGACTTCGAGGCTTGGATTCCGCGATTCGCGAACGCTTCCATTCAGACAGGGGTACAGGATTCTGGCAGCTGTCTTCCTACGAGGGTGGACCAGGGGGGCAGTTCTACTGAAGCCGTGGCTTGCAAGAGCACCGCTGCATACACGAAACTTCTGCTGGACTGCCAGACTGCATGTGATGGGCTTCGATGGCAGCTGAATGTGGCAGCATGGCCCCCGCCACACGACGACCAGGAGAAGATATCGGACATGGGCGACATGCTGCGGAGAATCGACCAAGAAGTTGAGCAGTTTTACCGTCAGCTACAAAGATATCACTGCCAGGAGCTTTGTGATTCCTACACCCAGACATGTTGATGACGATGTGGCGTCGCTCGTTCGTGCTTTGGTGCTGCATTCCACTCTCGACGAGGGGGGTGTTTGTCATCTCCTTTTGAGGCGGTCCATGAGTGCGGCATCCCTACATGTTAGGTGCTTTCGGGCGTCAGTGCTCGAAATCTCTTTAGGGGATATGGAGTAGTAGAGCCAAAATCCACAATGAAGCAGCTGCGATGGTTTGAAAAGGAGGCCTCGCAGATGTGAAGATGGCAGATCAGAAAATTCTGGAAGCACAGACTTGCACAGGGTTTATGGGTTTAGGGGTTTAGGGTTTAGAGGTTTAGGGTTTAGGGATTAGGGGTTTAGGTAATAGCGTTTTAGGGTTTAGGATTGAGAGTTGAGGGCTTAGCAGAAATAGTAATCCACAATAATAAAGATATGGGCAACAGTCTAAACTCCTTAGGGGGGGTTATGCACGGGATAATATTTGGGGAATGTGATAGGCGTTAGTCAGGGTGACACAAGGAGTTAGACCATGGTTCATGCGGGCTTAGCGCTTAGGGTTTCTTACCATATCTTAGGGTCTGGGGGTGTCATTTTGGGTTCAAAGTCTTGAGATTTTGAGAGTAAGGAAATTTGGGAACCCTAAGTAATGGTAAGTTTATATGGGCTTGAGGGTTTAGGGATTAGGGCAGTAATAGTAATTGTAATACTAGTAGTAGTAATAACAGTAATAGTAATAGTAAACATATAGTTATAGTAATCATACTGACCTGCAGCACCCACAGCCTGACAGGCACGGAATGAACTCGAAGAAGCCCGCCAGGAGGGATCTGGCGACTGTGAGTCTGAAAATCTGATTGCTGCTGCGGATCTGCTTAGCCTACATTGGGGCTGTATTGGGATGATGGAAAATAGAATGGAAACTACTATAAATTGGGTTATGTACGGTTCAGGGTTCAGGGGGACCCCTGCTTAGCCGTGTCGTGCTGCTCCACCAATCTCCCGCGTGCAGGATCTGGCAAAGGAGAAACAGCGCAAAGATGTTGCCATTTGGCAAGACAGGGACACGCATGAGCGTTTTCATTCCCAGTTTCTTTGGAACCATCCAAGACCTGTGCAATTTTTAGCAGGTCACTCAGCCAACTTGAGGCATTTGTAGCTGGTCTCACACGTGTGCTTATAGATAAGAGTAACAATAATTAACTGAAATAGTACTAATACATCCAATAAGGCTCTACACTTTTGGTATTCGCCTTTGCCATCAAACTCAGGAAGAAGATCATCAAGTCAAGATGAAGGCAGTCGCAGACAATCGTGCCGGGCACAGCACGTCTCAGGACAAAGCTGGGGTTTTCCCAAAGGTAGGGATACCTGTTTAGGGTCCCCATAAGATGGGTAGCTCCCCAAACTATAGGGCCAGCTGTTTCGTACCTCTAATTATTAGGTGCCGTAATATAATCTATACCCAAAAAGGGCCCATAATTTTGAGAACAAGCC